GATTTTGCCTGCTGAACAAAAGATCAAGAACACTGAGGAAGCCCTGCACAGTGAGACTCTGGCTCAGTGGTTAAGTGCCCCCGAGTTCAATCTCTGGTATGAAAAAAAAAAGGAACATTGAGGAATACTGTACTAGGTACTACAGTGAAAAGTCAAAAACATACATGACAAAAAAATGTGAGTTGTAAATTAATATGGTATTAGACTTAGGATCCCAAATGTACCCAAAAGCTCATGTGTGTAAGGCTTGGTCCCTAATGTAGCAGTGACTGGATCACCAGGGCTCTAATCTCATCAAAGGATTGATCCATTGATCCACAGTTTAAATGGGCTACTGGGAGGTGGTGGAATCTTTAGGAGGTGGGACCCACTTGGAGGAAATAGGTCACTGGAGGCATGTCCCTGAAGGGTATGCTTTGTCCTTGGTGCTTTCCTTGCTCTTTCCCTCCACTTCCTTGCCACTATGAAGTGAGCAGCTTTGCTCTACCACCAGCTCCCTGCCAGGATATTGTGCCTCATCATAGGCCAAGTAACAATGGAGACAAATAACCATTGACTGAAACCTTTGGAATTGTGAGCTCAAATAATCTTTCTTCCTTTTAGGTTGTTTTTCTCAGGTATTTTGTTACAGAAAAGGAAATGACTAACCCATATAGTCTCTGCCTAAGATGGACTATCATGCAGCCATTAGACACTGTGCTTTTAGCCAGGCATGGTGGCACATGCTTGTAGCACTAGTTACTTGGGAGGCAGAGGCAGGAGGATTGCTGAGACCAGCAGTTTGGGACTAGGCAACACAGTAAGACCCTATCTTAAAAAAAAAAAAAAAAAAAAAAAAAAGCAGTGGCACACACCTGTAATTCCAGAGATTTGGGAGGCTGAGGCAGGATCACAAGCTGGAGGCTAGTGATCCTATCTCAAAATTAAAAAAAAACAACAAAAAAAACAATTGTTTTAAAGAAAGGGCTGGGAATATGGCTCAGTGGTAGAGAGGTATGGATTCAATCCCCAGTACCAAAAAAAAAAAAAAAAGTGTTTCAAAGAAAATTAGAAGACATGAAAAATGGTTCATGATAGAATGTTAATTCAAAAAGGTTGATAAAATTAGGTGCAGTGGCACACACCTATGATCCCATCTACTTGGGAGGCTGAGGCAGGAGGTTTGCAAATTCATGGCTAGTCTGGACAACTTAGGGAGACCCTGTCTCAAAATAAAAATAAAAAAGAATGGGGATGCAGCTCAGTAGTAGAACATTTGCGTAGGATACATGAGGTCCTGGATTCAAACCCTAACACCATTAAAAAAAAAGGATGATGAAAAAATATACAAAATATAACATCAATTTAGGTAAAAAATTAGATGTGAAAGAATGGGTTTTCTTAAGGTGACGGTATTACCAATTAGTAGTTTCTGTTTTATATTTATCTTCTCTTCCTAATGTTGTGTAGCAAACATTTGTTACTTCTGTAATCAGAAAGCAACTCTAGCAAACATCACTTTTAAAATAGAAACAGAAAAGGGGATAAAGTCTTGTTCACCATATGGGGTTTGGCCTCAAGATCCTTGAAGTCAGCCTCCTTCACTCCAGACATGGTTTGGTAGTAGTCCAGGTTCTGCCGCATCTCCACATGCTCAGGATTGCCCACAAAGAAGGTGTGTGCTGCCGATACAGCTTTCTCCAGCTTGTTTATCTAAGGATCAAATACAAGAATATAATTCTGACATCCAAGCCCTGGGTTTGTGTCCAGCAGTACAGTCTATAGTAAACAGGAAATCCCAGCCTCCCTGAGCCTTTCCAAGCCTTCATTCATCATGCCCAGACCCTGGCAACCCCAGAACACAAACTTATTTACAGGGATCTCATACCAAGCATTAGGAGCATAGTGCTCCAGGCAGATTTGCAGCTATTTCCTAAATCGGCTTAGTGGCTCCCTAAATTCTGGGAGGTAATGTTTCAGTACTATAAATCTTCTACTTTAAAATGAAGGACATATTGTAGGGGGAGCTATGATAACTGAATACCAAGAACCACAGTCTCAATAGTCAAATGTATGGACTGAGCTGAAGAAAATCTAAGGCTTCTAAAGAGCAGTTAACAATTACACTGTCTAGGAATTTTCCTGGAAAAGAATTTTGCTTAACAGAAAATCAAGAGTTTTTTGGACACATGTTCAGGGCAAAGGTAGGTCTTTTATAAAATCCAGACCTGGGTATCTTCTGACTCAAAGACTAGAGATCATGAGGTTAAAACAGTTATTTAAAAAAAAAATTATTAAAAAAAGTTATAGTTATTTTAAAAAATGTGCTATGGACCATAATAATGTCCACAGCAACGGAATCCAGCATATCAAATTCACACAGGTTTATATATAGACTCCAAAATAAATTAGAGGATCTAGTAGACTTTAGTGTCAGTCATACCAGCAATAGATCTAGGTTTAATGAATCACTTGCTGGACTTTAGATAATTTAAAATTTGCTTCCCAAATTCAGTTCCCTAATCTGTCATCTGGAGTAGCACTCACTACCCATCTCATGGGATTTTGTGGGGTCAATAAGATGATATACATGTAGCTTTAAACACACGGTGCTCAACACAGATGGTGCTGGTATCCTTAATGTGTTAAAGAAGAAGAAGAAGAAAAAAAAAAGCACATTAAAGGAGTCAGGCCTGGTTATGTGAACCAAGGTAAGTAATTCCCAGCTCTGTACCTCACTTTCTTTATCTTCAAAGTTAGGGTTTCTCCCATTTGTCCTTTGATGGATTTACTTCCCTGTATCTTTCAGCACAGCCCCTTACTTTCCCTGTTCTTCATTCTCTTCCTTTCCTCCAGATCTTCCTTACCTGTGAGGCACCTCATTCAATTCTCTCTGGTGGACACTGGTGGACAAAGGCGCAGGTATCTTAATTCCCTGAATTGTTTCCCTCACTTTCTCCTTCCAAAGCTTATTCCATGTGGCTTCTAGAATTAGTGCTCTAAAATCCAATTTCAATGATGGCTGTCTGGGATCTGCAGAATTTGCCCCTGAATCTGGTTTCACTAAACATTTTTAGTCGCCTCTTCTGCTGCTCCTCACACATATCCTGACCACCCAATCACAGCAATATATATATATATATATATATATATTTTTTTTTTTTTTTCTGAATACATCATGCTTGGGTTTTAGTTTTCCCTTTACCTGGAACAGCCATCCTTCTTTCCCAGGCAATATTTAGGACAGGCTCAATGTCATCTCTCAAGTCTCTCTAATTATTCTCTGAGATAAAGCTAGATTTTTCCTCCTTTGTGCTCACAGCAGCCCTACTACATACTCTTTTGATAGTCCTTACTACAGTGATCCTTAGCAGCAAAGCAAGACAATACAAAGAGTTAAGCATTTTAATCAGCTGTCCAAGAACTGGAATGCAGTAGGTATTCAATAAATGTTTGTCAAAGGATTTTAAGTAGTGCTGTTAAGTGACATGACCAAAGTCATAGTCCAGTACTCTTCCAAGCAACCCGGAGGAATGAAGGGGTACTACACAAGCAGAGTGCTCTTGCAGAGGTGGAAATCTGAGGTCCCCAAGAGTCTCTAAGTCTCTTTTTAGGTCTGTTGAATTATGAATATAATAGATACGCAGCAGACCTCCTTCTTTCCCCTTCTCTTCAATAAATGAGACTAATAGTAGCATCTACTTCACAGGGTACCATGTGGATGAGGGCAAATAAGTTAATAAATGCTGTGCTTAAAACAGCGCGTGGAAGTTCATGTGGTCTATCATCATCATCACACAAGCCTGGAACCCTCAAAGCCTATTTGTACACAGTTGGCACTGTGGCATTCCTAAAAACACTAATTTTCTTTGGACACTGGCAGATTAGCCAGAGGGTCTCCCACAGGGTGGAGCCAGGCAGCCCCTGATGGCAACGTGGCAATCCCACGTCCTGAAGGAGCGCTGCAGGAAAAGCATCATTAGAGAACGAACCGGAAGGAAGATATTGTAGAAAGCTCCCGGCTTTTCACTTGGACATTTACAATGAAATCAGGATGGGAGACCCAACCTGCTGCTTCAGTTCCCTCTTGGAGCCATTACGGGAATAAAAGGTCAATCCTTTCTTGGCCTGGGACCTAACCCCAGACTGGACCTTTGGGGTTAACATCTGTCCATAATAACTGAGCGAGGCGGGTCCCCTAGCAGTTTCTCTGTTCTCCCTGGGTCTGAGGAGAGTTCCCCAGCCAGGAGGCCACCCTCCCTCTCTGCGAATACTTCCCTGGTCCTCCAGTTCCCCAGGTCGCCTGCAACCATTCACCGAAGTACCCCAGGCAAGTCCGCACCTTGAAGTAGGCGACCTGCAGGTAGTTGTAGGGGCTCCGCTTGCGGAACTCTAACTCCAGCTCCTCGCTGAGTGAGTGAGCGGCCGGCGGCCCAAGGCAGCGGCGCAGGCAGGCGGCGCGACGAAGCAGGCCCCCAAAGAAGCGCAGGTCGTGCAGGGCGGCGGCGCCCGGGGCCTGGGCCAGACTCGCGGAGAAGCCGGAGTCCAATTCCCACGGCAAGTCGGCTGCACATTGGGTGCGACAGCGCAGGCGGAGGGCGCGCAGGGCGGCCCGTGAACGCAGCGCCCGCTCCATGCTCAGGACGACCCCGGCCCAGTCCCCGCGCGCGTAGGCCGCGGTCCCCTCGGCGAAGAGCAGATCAGGCGCCGCCAGGTCCCATCCCGTCTCGGACTCGCCCTCGGCCTGGGAGGCGGTGGCAATCGCCAGCAGTATGGTCAGCAGCCTCCACAACTGCGGGGCCATCACCTCCAGAGACTTAGCGGGACCACAAGCCACCCGCTGCTGAAGACAGGATCCCACCCCCGGCAAGGTCCCGCCCCTGGGAGAAGCCCCGCCTCTTAAGAGAGCGGCGCATGCGCATGGTCACACACCTTCTTGCTATCAACGTGGTCCCCGCCCCTCAGAGCAACTTTAGGGTTTGCTGGAGCCCCGCCTCCGCGTTCAGGCCGCGCCCCATCGCTCCAGCGTCCAGTGGCCCGGGAACACGGAAGCTCCGCCCACAAGCCGTTGTGCGCACGCTCTTCTGCCCAAGGAGGTAGAGTACCCGTCATGGAGAGCGCTCCGCAGTCTGGGCCGGAAAAGAAAGACCCTGAGAGTCCAGGAGTGCAGCAGGCGGCTGCAGGTCAGGATGGTATGCGGGGCGGAGGTCAGCTTGGGGAAAGAAGTCCCCGCGGGCAGCTAGTCTCTGGGGTTCAGCGGGAGGCTGAGGGCGGGAGCTCACAGTCTGTGTTCCTGGGTGTGTGTCGCAGGATCCCTGGTGGAGCTCACCCCAACCCCCGGCGGCCTGGCTTTGGTGAGCCCCTATCACACCCACCGGGTCGGGGACCCCTTAGACCTCGTGGCGCTCGCAGAGCAGGTGCAGAAGGTGAGGAGGCGCGGCTGGGAAAGTGAATAACTGTCTTCTTTTGAGGTTTGCTCTACCTGTTTTGACTTGGACCTTATAGCCACTAAGAGTGGGGTTCTTGTCTGCTTTTTGCAGAGGGTGAAAGTCGACTGTCTTTCTGAGTCGGTTGCCTGACTCAAACTCTAATCTTCTGAGACCAAAGATACCTTCTACTGCAGGTAGAGTGCCCATAATCTCCCTCCGTGGGAAGGTCTGCAAAGCATTTTCAGTACATTATTTCATTTGCACCTTAGCACATCCCTGTGAGGTAGGCAGTACAGAAGTTCTCTTTGATGCGTGAAGATCATTCTAACCCAAATTTTTCAAGGATGTATAGTTCAGTTATTTTAAGCTGCTCCCATAAAATCTTTATCTGTTTACCTGAGAGCTTGAAGAATTTAACATATTCTAGGAAGGGTAGCACTTTTAAGTTTTGCCCTGTATTCTCATTCATTGGATACAGTATTCTCATATTCTCATGCTCAGAGCTTACACATTCATTGGCAAAATAGGTAAAATAAAGAGAAACTGCAAAATATCGGGAAAAGCACTGGAAGTTTGGATACATGAGCCTCCTTTCTACATTTTTTTTTTTTTAACAGTAAGAACAGCCTTAAATGGTTGCAACGAAGAATGGAAGAGAGAATATAGAACAGCTCTTCTTCCTGCTGGGGTGGCATTCACAGTTGCTCTCCACTCTTTGCACTTTTTTTTTTATTAATGCATTATAGTTGTGCATAATGTTGGGATCTGTTGTTACACATTTGTACCATGCACACAATATAATATAACTTCCCTCTTCTTTCCCCTAAATTTATTGGTACTGGGGATTGAACCCAGGGGCATTTTCCAGCCCTTTAAAAAAATTTTTGGGAGGTACTGTGGATTGAACTCGGGGCACTCGACCACTGAGCACACCCTCAGCCCTATTTTATATTTTATTGAGACAGCGTCTCACTGAGTTGATTAACACCTCGCTTTTGCTGAGGCGGGCTTTGAACTTTGGGTCCTCATGTCTTAGCCTCCTGAGCTTCTGGGATTACAGGTGTGTGCCACTATGCCTGGCCTTTTTTAAAATTTTGAGACAGGTTCTGTTATGTGTTTGGATGTGAGGTGTCCCCCAAAAGCTCATGTGTGAGACAATGCCAGGTTTAGAAGAGAAATGACTGGGTTATGAGAGCCTTAACCAAATCGGTGAATTAATCCCCTGACAGAATTAACTGAGCAGTAACTGAAGGTGGGTAGAGTGTGGCTGGAGAAGGTAGGCACTGGTACTATGCCTTTGGGGTATATATTTTGTATCAGGTAAGTAGAGTCTTTCTGCTTGCCGATCATCATGTGAGCTGCTTCCCTCTGCCACACTCTTGCACCATGATATTCTACTTCACATTGAGCCTTGGGGAATGGAGTCTACTCTCTGTGGATTGAGACATCTGGAACTGTGATCCCCCAAATAAACTTTTCCTCAACTACAGTTGTTGTGGTCAGTTCTTTTAGTCATAGCAGCAAAAAAGCTGATTAAAACAGAAATTGGTACTGAGAGGTGCTCAGTACAATTATTGTTATTATTGTTATAGTTGTTACTAACCTGACCATGTGGTTCAGAAGCTTTTGGAGCTTTTTGGAATTGGTTGGAGAAATTTTGAGATGTTTAGCAGTGCTGGAAATACTTTAGATTGTTTTAAGTGGAGCTTAATGGCCAGTTCTGGTGGGAGCTGGAAAGACCAGAATGCCAGTAGGACTGTGGACAGTGAAGACAGTGAACCCTCACGAGGGTTCAGAGAAGGAGGACTCTATTGGAAATAGGGCTAGAAGCCATTCGTGTTATGTTGTAGCTTCTCAGCTGTCTACATTTTGCCTGTGTCCTGAGATTTTCTGTGAGGCTGATTTTAAAAGTGATGGACTTTTTAATCTGGCAGAAGAAATTTCTCTGCAGCATAGCATTCAGGCAGTAGCAATGGATATTGGTAGTGACTTTTAGCCAAATTTATTATGATAATCAGGAGCATAAAGCAGAGCAGAAAGATTTGAAAAACTTGGACTTGAAATGTGGACTGAAAACTGGGGCTAAGGAAGTTGCAGTTGTTAAAGATACTACCACCACTAAAGAAATGTTAAAGACTGCCCAGGGACAATAAGAAAGGTGGCTTGAAGTTATTTCAGCATTTGGCAAGATCATATCCATCTCAGGCTCAGGAGGTAAAAGTAAAAATTCTCTTGAGGAGAGACCAGTGGGGCACCCTTCTTGCACAAGGGGGTCTAGGAGTTTTTTTTCAACATGCTCAGCTACCTAGATACTCAGAGATTTCTGTAGTTGGGGTCCCTGGAGGTTTGGCTACTGCTCAAGATGGTAGCAGACCTTGGAATCAACCATGTGGTGCTATTTCTGCAGGAATGCAGGATGCTAGAATTAGGGGGTCATGGAGGCTTCCATCAAGATTTCAAAGGAAGGCCTGGGAGACTAGGCAAAATGCAGCAGGATCAAGTCTCTGTGGGTGACCCCTGAGAGGCCGATGCATGGAGATGTGAGGAAGAAACCAAAGCTGCAGTGGAGACCCCCAAGATTTAAGAAATGTCAGTACCGTGGAATGTCCCCTGAGGAAGGCTACAGGAATTGTACAGGCAAGCCAACAGAAAGGCCTCTTGGGCTGCAACCAACAAGGTCATGAGGCGGAGCTACAGGAGCCCTTTGAACAGAACATCACCATGTCATGTGCCCCAGAAGCCAGACTTGTTTGCCCAGCTGGATTTCAGTCTTGCTTTGGTTCCATCCCTTCTTTCTATGCCCCTATTTTTTAGAATAGAAATCTTTACTCTCTGCCCTTCTATATTGGATACTTATAAACTGCTTTTGACATTTTAAAAATAAATATTTATTTATTTATTTTAGTTATAGGTGGGCACAGTATCTTTATTTTTCTGTGATGCTGAGGATTGAACCCAGTGCCTCATGCATGCTAGACAAGCACTCTACCTCTGAGCCACAACCCATCCCTGCTTTTGATTTTGACAAGAGCTTATAATGTGAGGTTGCCCTATGTCTCAGAGGAGACTATGATCTTGAACTTTGAGATCTTGGAACTGTTGAGACTATGGGAACTCTGGGAAATGGACAAAATATATTTGCATTGGAGATAGTCATGAGCTTTAGGGAACCAGGGACAGAATATTATGGTTTGGATGTGAAGCGTCCCCCTAAAGCTCATGTATGGGACGATGCAAGAAGGTTTAGAGGAGAAATGATTGTGTTATGAGAGCCTTCTTCCAATCAGTGAATTATTCCCCTGACAGGATTAACTGAGCAGTAACTGAAGGAAAGTAGAGTGTAGCTGGCACTGGTGATGTGCCTTTGGGGTATATATTTTGTATCGGGTAAGTAGTGTCTTTCTGCTTGCCAATCATCATGTGAGCTGCTTCGCTCTGCCACACTCTTTCACAATGATGTTCAACTTCACATTGAGCCCTGAGGAATGGAGCCTGCTCTCTGTGGATTGAGACTTCTGAACTGTGAGCCCCCAAGTAAACTTTTCCTTGACTACAATTGTTTTGGTTGGGTCTTTTAGTCACAGCAACAAAAAAGCTAACTAAAACAAAGTCTCAGTAAGTTTCTTAGGGCCTCTCTTAAGTTGCTGAAGCTGTCTGAACTTGTGATTTGCCTGCCAAGTTGCTGGAATTATAGGTAGTAACCCCCAACCCAGCTTGACACAGAGTCTTACTCCTATTTTGACGTTACTTTCAGGCAAATACTTCTCTGGACCTCTGTAAAGTGAAGGATTTGAAGTAGAAGAACTCCTAGATCCAGAGGAAAAACCTATTCCGTGAAAAATTAAGTTCCTTCTCATCCCCTTTTTTTTTTAATATTTATTTTTTTAGTTGTAGTTGGACACAATACCTTTGTTTATTTATTTTTATGTGATACTGAGGATTGAACCCAGGGTCTCACACATGCGAGGCAAGCGCTCTGCCACTGAGCTACAACCCCAGCCCCCCTTCTCCTCTCTTAGCAAGACTTCCAGTCTGCAAAGATTTAGGGAGGATCCTGCTGCTTTAAAGCTTATGATATCCCCTTATCCTTATATACAGTCTCATATTTGTTCTTCTCTTTTGTTTTTTTTTAAAGAGAGAGAGAATTTTTTTTTAATATTTATTTTTTAGTTTTCGGTGGACACAACATCTTTGTTTGTATGTGGTACTGAGCATCGAACCCAGGCTGCACGCATGCCAGGTGAGCGCGCTACTGCTTGAGCCACATCCCCAGCCCTCATATTTGTTCTTGATTATATGTTTGTTTTGCTCATAAAATTTATTTATTAAATGTTAACAATACTTGAATTATCATTTGATAATATACCCAAATTCCCTAATGTAAACATCTCTACTGTTTTTTTTTAAGAAAAATTGAAATATTTAGGAAAGCTCTTTTTTTTTTTAACAGTTTTTAGTTGTAAATGGATCTTTTAATTAATTAATTAATTAATTAATTAATATGTGGTGCTGAGGCTTGAACCTAGGGCCTCACACTTGCCAGGCAAGTGCTCTACACTGAGCTGCAACTCCAGCCTAGGAAAGCTCTTTTATTTAAAACCTTATGCTTTTTCCTTTTTAGAGAGGGAAGCAAAGCACCTTTTATGGGTTAGGAGAATATCTTGTGTCTATGTAATCAGAGCACTCTTATTGGGAGGTGGACTGCCAGGGGCAAAATCTTGGGCAAACAACCTATTTATTTATTTATTTATTTAGTGGTGCTGGGGATTGACCCCAGGGCCTTGTGCATGCAAGGCAAGCACTCTACCAACTAAGCTATATTCCCCAGCCCAGCAAACCACATTTTTATATGTACTAAGTGATTCTTATGTTTACTACAATGATCTGAACCAAAGAAATAAGGAATACAGTTTTTGTCTTTGATCCTATAATCTAGTGAAATATAAAGCATGCCTTATTGTGCTGCCTGAATTTCTTCAATGTAACCAGTCTTTGAGAAGTGAAGAAAAAACACTCTAAAGATAAGCTTTGAATCTAGTTACTGTACTGAAATGCACTTTCTGGCAAGACTGAATTCTGATACCCTACTTAAGATTCAGAAAGCCTGGGAGGCTAGGTATGGAGGACTGAATTTTAGACCCAAACTGATCTATGTTCAAATCCTTCAACCGCCATTTACTAGCCATGAAACTTTTAGTTTGATTCACCTCTATGAGTCTTAATTCCTAAAAAGAGAAAGTGGGACTGTCATCTCCAGCTTCATAAAGGTGTCACGAGAGTTAAATTCTGATGATATATAAAGATCTTTGGAGTGGTTAGGGCCAAAGTTAGTACTTAGTAATTATAGGTACTTTCTCCTTTGTTTCTATTTTAATTAGGTTCTTTGATTTATAAGAAACAGATTCACTGCTACCATTTTAAGGAAAAAGAGATTTCTCATAAGACTGTAGAATCTACCTGCTGTAGAATCTACCTTAGCTGTGTAATCTACCTGCTCTATCACTAGCTATATGGCTCCTTTGTCCTGGGAACAAAATGCAAATTCTTTTACCTTGGGCCACAGGGCCCTACAAGATCTGTTCTCCATCCTGACCACCATTCAAATGACAGTATTGTTCATTGAATTTGACCTTTTGGCTACACATAGATTCCAATTCCTATAATTCTTACACTTCTTATTACTAAACAAGTTACTTAACTCATTTGTTATCTTTGACCTGCTATGGTCACATAATGATGGCACATCAGTATTTTGAATGCATGTACTACTAACTTTAATTATTCTTATTTTTATTGTTAGTATTATTTATTGGAGCTATACCATAAAGTAAGGTAGCCACTAGCCACATATTTCTGTTGAATTCTTGGATTGTGCAGTTAGTCTGACCAAGGAACCGAATTTAACTTAATTTGAATTTTAAAACCTGATAATTGATTCAGTTATTAGAATTTAAATTTAAATTTGATACAATTTGAATACATGGATCAACTTCATAAATATAGATTTTGTGTGATTTAAACATAGGTCATGTATTTCCAATGAAGATTTAGCATCCAAATTGAGATGTGCCGAGTATGAAATATACACTGCATTTTGAATACTTACTATGAAATGTAAAATAACTCATTAGCAATTCTTTTTAACTTTACACAAATGTTCATAGCAACTTTATTCATTATAGCCCAAAAATGTTACCAGACATCCATCAGTTGATTAACAGAAAATAAAATGGTATATGCGTACAATGGAATATTATTGAGCAATAAAGAAATTTAGTTCTGACAGAAGCTACATGGACAAACTTTGAAAACATACTTAATAAAGAGTGATAATCCTTCTGAGGTCACTCTAGTCTGTCCTGGCTTTGAGAGTTATATGGTCTGTTTTAAGCAAGTTCTGTAGCCTTTAGTTGTATTTCTTGGCACATGATGGGCAGTCTTCCGTGTAGATCATAACTTTCTGTCAGGTATACATGTAATATAGTGTGTGTGTGTGTGTGTGTGTGTGTGTGTGTAAGGATATGTGTGGTACTAGAGGTTTCAAGTATTATACAAGTACTGAGCTACACCTCACTCCATTTTTATGCCACTGGGGTTAAACCCAAGGATGCTCTACCACTGAGCTACATCCCCAGCTCTTTTTAAATTTTTATTTTGAGATAGGCTCTCAGTTGCTGAGGGTGGACTTAAACTTGCTTTCCTCCTGCCTCATCCTCCTGAGTAGCTGGAATTTCAGGCATGCATCACCATGCATAGTTAATCTTTGTTTCTTTTTTCTCCAAAGAAGAATATTGCTGTGGTTGCCCAGGCTGACCGTGAACTCCTGGGCTCAAATGATCCTCCTTCCTCAGCATTTTAAGTAGCTGAGTCTATAGGTGTGTACTATGATATCTGCCTTCATAACATAGTCTTTTAAAATACATTTTGATTATTATTTAGAAATGCAACAGTAAGTTAAAATGTAGGGCTGGGATTGTAGGTCAGTGGTAGATCGCTTGCCTAGCACATGTGAGGCACTGAGTTTGATCCTCAGCACCACATAAAAATAAATAAATAAAGATATTGTGTCCATCTACAACTAAAAAAATATATATATTTTTAAAAATTTAAGCTTTCCGGACTAGGCCGAGCTATAGGCGCCATCATGGGAATCAACATACGCCACAAGAAGGACCGAAAGGTTCAGCGCAAGGAGCCCAAGAGCCAGGGCATCTACCTAGGGCTGTTGGGCAAGTTGTACAGGTTTCTGGCTAAACGAACCAATTCTACCTTCAACCAAATGGTACTGAAGAGGTTGTTCATGAGTCGCACCAATAGGCCACCTGTCTCCCTCCCTTGGATGATCCGGAAGATGAAGCTTCCTGGCCGAGAAAACAAAACAGCTGTGGTCGTGGGGACCATGACGGATGATGTTTGTGTTCAGGAGGTGCCCAAACTGAAAGTGTGCGCACTGCGCGTGAGCAGCCGAGCCCACAGCCGCATCCTCAAGGCTGGGGGCAAGATGCTCACCTTTGATCAACTGGCCCTGGACTCCCCCAAGGTCTGTGGCACAGTCCTGCTCTTTGGTCCTCGCAAGGGCCAAGAGATGTACCGGCATTTTGGCAAGGCTCCTGGGATCCCACACAGCCACACCAAACCCTACGTCCACTCCAAGGGCAGGAAATTCGAGCAAGCCAGAGGCCAGAGAGCCAGCCATGCCTACAAAAACTAATCCCAGTTTTACTGTTAACAAAGAGGCTTTGAATTTGGGGGGAAAAAAATTTAAATAGGTATGATGTAATTCAACTGAAGTAAAGTGTCAGATTAACAGATCTTATCTACATTAGCAGGAAATAAGAGCCATATCACAAGTGTTTTGATTTTCATTGTTAAGACCCATTACTGATTTAGAAGTATTTAAACATGAGAAAACAAATAGGAATCCTAAGAAATACTTGATTAGCCAGGCAGAAAGCAAGGAGGAAAATATATTAGGTGGAGGGGAGGCATATTCAATATATTTGGTAGCAAGAGGGTAGGACATATTGGAGGGCCAAAGAAATCAGAATGTGGCTAGAGTTCACAGTGAAAGCAATGGAAAATGACAAGAAGGAGCACTTAATTCTGGTGTGGAGTCTTGTCAGGGTGGCAATGCCATTTGAGCTGGGCCTTGGGATAGATAAGAATTTATGTGGCAATAATGAGAATGGGAAGTACTTTAGGTGTAAGTAAAGATGCTGACATAACTCTTTTCTCTGGGATCTATATAAGAACATCATAAGTCATATTCTTTCTCACCCTGCAGTTTGGTTTTCTCCCACCTACAGGCTGATGAATTTATTCGAGCAAATGCCACCAACAAATTGACAGTCATAGCTGAGCAGATCCAGTATTTGCAAGAAAAAGCCAGGAAGGTAAGGAAAGACTTTAGGCTGGCTGGCCGCTGGCCTGTCTGCCCCTCTTCCTCCCTCCCTCCCTCCCTCTCTTCCTTCCTATACTGGGGTTGAAACTGGGGTACTCTACATTTGAGCCACATCCCAGCCCTCTTCATTTTTTATTTTGAGATAGGGTCTCCCTAAGACCTATCTGAGGCTGGCCTTGAACATGCAATCCTCCTGCCTTAGCCTCTTGAACAGCTGGGATTACAAGTGTGCATGACTGTGCCCAACTTCATTTTTATTATTTAGTTCACAAGATTGACTGTAGTTGCTTATTTGTCTTTGGTACCTTCTAAGAGATGTAGAGGTTTTGAGTGAGATAGAAGGAATAAACCTGAGAGGTTATATTATTCTGTTTAGTGTTACAGTGATGAAATACTTAAGGCAGGTTAACTTTATTAACAAAACAGATTTATTTAGCTCACAGTTTTGGAAGTTCAGGGACGGTGCTGGTTTGTTCAGCTCTGCGGGGGGGGTGTGGGGGGGTCCTTCTTGGCTATATCTAGTCATGGCAGCAGTGTGTGTGTGTGAGAAGAAATCTCATCACCCAAAAGGTAAGCAGAGAGATTTTCAAAGCTCAGGCTTTCACAGCAACACGTTCTCACTCTCTGAAGAACTCCCTGCAGGAAAACAGTATTCTCTTCTCAGAGCAGCATCCCCAGGAACCTGAGGACCTCCCACTGGGTCCCACATCTTCCATTAGCACTCATATCACCACACCAGTGACCAAACTCCCAGGACGTGGTCCTTTGGGAGACAAATGGCAGCTAAACCATAGCAGAAATTGAGAATAAGATTTATTTATTTTATTTATTTATTTTTTAAACCAGGAGAGAATTCAGTGAGATAAAGCCTTTCAAAGGAAAAAAAAATGTATTCTTTTACAAAAGAAATGTACTGGGCTGGGGTTGTAGCTCAGTGGTAGAGCACTTGCCTCCCACCTGTGAGGCCCTGGGTTTGATTCTTAGCACCACATAAAAATATATGAAAAAAAAAATAAAGATATTTAAAAAAAATAGTAAGAAAGAAAGAAATGTACTTACCACAGAAAAAGAGGAAAGAAACTTAAGAACCACCCAAACCCATTAATGCTCAACACTTTGAAATATAATTCTAAAGACATTTTCTTCAGCCTAGTAGCAAAATTTAATCTTTATTTCTTTAGAATTATCTGGATGCCAGTAGTGATTTATTGTTGTGGGGAAGCAAGATGCCAAGTGTTGCAGTTTTCACATTTTGATTGCAATGAAGCCTGAGCATGAGTGCCTATTACCTCTGATCCTCATCTGTTGCGCCTCTGTGGTTCACAGGTACTGGAAGATGCTCACAGAGATGCCGACTTGCACCGTGCAGCTTGTAATATGGTGAAAAAACCTGGCAACATTTACTATCTTTATAAACGGGAGAGCGGTCAGCAATACTTTTCCATTATTTCTCCAAAGGTAGGAACATTTACTCTTCATCCCCAAACCTACTCCAACCTTTGAGAAATTCTTGGCATGTGTGTATGAAAGTAAATAGACATAGACTGGTAAATTTTTGCCTAGAAAATTGGGGGTGGTGTGATCCCAGGCATAACTAATAAAACGTGTGTTTGCTTTAAATTACTTCATTTATTATCTCTGTTATGGGAATATCTGATATATAATGTGACTGCTTTTCAAGTATGGTCTGACTAGTCTGAAGTGAAAAGCCAAAATAGAAATTTGTGGATAAATAGGAAAAGAACTCAGTTTACTTACATCCTGCTCTGATCAGAACCCACTCCTTTGCCTTTTCTAGGAATGGGGGACTAGTTGTCCTCATGACTTTCTTGGTGCCTACAAGCTTCAGCATGACTTGTCCTGGACTCCATATGAGGACATTGAGAAGCAAGACGCTAAAATCAGCCTAATGGACAAGCTGCTGAACCAGCCAGTGGCCCTGCCCTCCTGCACTGAACCCACCTTCCAGAGACTGACTAATTGAGCGTGGACTCTGGCCAGCAGCTCTCACAACAAGGGCCTGTTGCCTCCTTGTGGCCCCTGTTCTCTGCATTGATGGGGCAGGGTCATGGGATCTGAGGACTTGTAGGTGAATCAGGAACTTCTTGGAAGGAGACCCTATGTGAATGTAATTGCTTTTGTTTTCATTGCTTTTAATTGGGTTGGTAAGGAATCACAATACTCTCTTTTGGGATCTCCTTGGAGCAACAGATGCCCAGTTGGAGGTCACTCTCAGTTCCTTGATACTTTGGCCTCTGCAAGATGGCAGCTTTCTTCATCAAAGCAAAAAGGATAAGAGTCTACTAGCAGGACAGGAATTAATCTCACATAGTTCATTTATAGAAGTGACGTCACCTTTGTTGTATTCTCTTGGTTAGAAACAAGTCTGCAGGCCAGCTCACACTCAAGGGAGGGAATTACACACAGGCATGAATACCAGAAGGCAGGGATCACTGCATCGTTGAATAGACTTAAAATTTGTTTGCTGTGGTGCTCAGTTGAGAGGAAAAAAGAAAAGTCAATTCTGGCTAAAAGAGGCGATATTACAAAGTAGTTGAGTGCAATGATGTTGAAGTCACAGATCTGGACTTGACTCTTCACTTTGACAAAATAACTTATAGCTGGCATTCCTGCTTCCCCTCTGTCACCTCTCCAGTCCATTCTGCATATAGTTAAGTCAATCCTTTGAAAATGCAAATCACTCTTACCATTGACTTTTCCAACCACTGGAACTGGAGAGGAGTTATTCAGAAGAGAGAAATACAGTTACCATGCTGATGCACTCCCTGCACTGACCTTTAGGTAGTGCCATTCCTTTCCTGTTTAAGCCAATGATCAGGCTTAGGGAAGGTTAGTGGCAATGTCAGAATCGTGGACTAGGACTCAGTGATGATGTACAGTAGCTACTTTTCATTCAACCATCCAGCTGTCTACCCAGTAATTCTGTAAGTATTAACACCTTCTGGGGTCCAGGTTCTAGAGAATAATACAGCTGAAAAAGGGCCCTATTTCACAGGAGTGTGCAGTCTAGTGTGTGAGGAAGCAAGCCAGTGACTACAGCATGCTATAAGAAGTGCTGTGCTAAAGGTATGCACTGGATATTCTAGAACATAAGCTTGGGAGAATTTGGGAAGACTCTTTGGAGGAGCTGATTCCTGGGTGTTGAAAAATAACTGGGGGCTCCAATTATCTTCTCTATGGGAAGTGTGTCTTTTAGGGGTTAGGGTAGGGTTCATTTTTGGATAAAGTTTATTTGTAAATGAAGGAAAGGACATCCTTTTACAGACCACATCAACCAGAATAATCATGGACACCAGGATGGGTACAGGGGGATATATCCTGCCTAGAAGATTCTTATTTCTGACAGCTGGGGGATAGATGAAACGTGGGAACAAAAGCAATTCCAAACAAAAAGTAACATGTGAAGGTGTTGATAAGAAGCAGCATGGCATTTGGGGAATTGGATCCAGTTGAAAGTGAAGAATATGAAGCTTGTTGTACCAATGCAGACTCGTGGAGGTAGTGGTGGTGAGTGGGCCCTGGCCACTCAAGCTGAGAGGTTGACTTTAGAGCTTTCACTGCTGTAGCACTGCTGGTGGCCTCTGCTTTCAGAATTCCTGTCAAGAATGTGGGTGAGAGCTTAGAGCATTGGTGCACGCCTGTACCCCAGTCATTTGTGAGGTTGAGGTAGGAGGAACTTAAATTGAAGGCCAGTCTCATCAGTTTAGTGAGGCCCTAAGCAACTTAGTGGAGCCCTGTCTCAAAAAGGCAATCATGGTACCCCCCTCAAAAAAAAAAAAAAAAAAGGAAAATGAAGAATATGAGCCAGGGGCTATGGGAGAAGAACTAAGGTAATGATGTAAAGATTAGGGAGTTGGTAGTGTTGGCTTTCTAGAAGCCTCATTTTGGCTGTGGAAGCTGGATGAAGGAAAACCATTAGGAGCTTCTGTCCCTAGTCCAGGCAGGATGGGGTTGTGAACTAAGTTTGTAGTAGAATGAGAGGTACCATATTTCCTCAGTGGTAAGATAACACTTCTTCCCCGACATTTTAGTATCTGAAACCTGGATGCTTCTAAAAGTCAATGGCATGTCACAGTTAATGTGACATTTTTTCCTTTCTTCAAGCTACATGAAATAATGGTGTGTCTTATAAGGGATGGTGTCTTAGATGAAGCAAGACATTTTGAAAGTAAAATAAATTGCCATCTTATTGACAATAAAATGGGGGTGGTGAGTAAGAGGAAGAAACTTAGATAATGCTTGAATTTCTGGCTTAAGTATCTCTGTGGATCCACAACAAAATATGGAAGAGGAAGACATTCCTGATATTTTCCAGGATAATCAGTGATCTATATTTGCTGCAGTAATCCACCTTGCTGGCCCTGCTCAGGCTCACTGGGTTTAATAACTGATGGGTCTAGAAGGAGGGCTTTTCCTTCTAAAGTTGTTGCTCCAGTCAGTTCATGAACACTGAGAGTATTATTATTGTAGATCACAAAGGTGGTGAAATCCTGTGTAGTGAGCAGGTATACCATTATTTCACTGAATTTTTATATAAACCCACCACCTATTAAGTATATATTTCTATTTTATAGAGTGAGCATCTGCTCAGATTCACAAAATGGCCCGTGGTTATAGAGATTACAAAGTGGTAAGTTTGATTCAGATATTCCTATTTGATTCCAGTCTGACCATAACCTTAATCATGTTTTGGTTGATTAAGATAGTCCTAAAGGATGTCATTGTAGAGCTAAAAAGAAGCTACATTATAAAAGTAATATAGTAAGATGTATATATGAGATACTATGAGAATAGTCCGTTTTGTGTTTAGTGATTGCATGGACAAGAGGATACAGAAAACAGAGAAGTAACTTCTCTAAGGTCACACAACTCCAGAAGCAATTGAGCCCATGTCTATGGCATCAAAACCTGTATGCAAAAAATAGGGCTTAGCTGGACACAGTGAGGAACACTTGTAATCCCAGCAACTTGGGAGGTTGAGGCAGGAGGATTTGCAAGTTCAAAACCAGTCTCAGCAACAGATCCCATATTAAAATAAAAAGTAAAAAGGGCTGGGGATATGACTTGGTGTTTAAGCACCCTGAGATTCAATCCTTAGTGCCCCCCGCCCCTGCCAAAAAAAAAAGAGTTTCTTTCTTAAGGAGCTGGAGACTGGAAGGAAGGCATTTCTAAGTGCCTAGACGAATTAGACTTCTGTAATTTAGGCAGATTTGATTCAGTGAATCATTCCTTACTTGAAAGCCTTTTTTCTTTGTTTTGATTTGAAATATTATATTCTGCTTTTCTACTACTTCACTGACTGTACCTTTTCTGTGTCTTGATCCTCCTCTTCATGATACCTATACATGGAGGCCAAGTCCTAGGTACTCCCTTTTTCTCCCTACTGGGTGATCTAATCCATTCTTAAGGCTTTAAGTACCATACCTGAGCTATTGACTCATGTGCATGTCTCCAGTTCTTATCTGTCCTCAAGTCCACATGCACTTGCTTGTCTAGCAGTCGTACTTGACATCTCCTACTTGGCTCATACTCATAAATTTAATATGTTCACAACTCTGAGTTTACCCCTAAAACCTGTTTCACTCCCAGTCCTCTTTTTCCATCAGCACCTGTCTCATAGTTACTGAGGCCTAAAACTAAGTCAACCATGATTCCAGATGTTCTCCCCACATCAGTCAGCAAGGCTCAGCTCTGGCTTCAAAGTACATCCCAAGTTTGACTGTTTCTCATCACCTCCATCCTTCCCTTTTGGTCCAGATCACCAGCATCTCTAGCTTGGACTAATTCAGTAGCCTGCTAGCTTATCTTCCTGCATTCATTCCCACCCTCTTCTGTGTCTACAGAGACTTCCAGCATCATCTTTTAGCACTATAAATCAGATCACTTACCTACATTTTAAAACATGCCAAGAATTTTCACTACACTTGGAATAAAATCCAGACTTCTTGCCAAAGTTCCACATGATGTCTCAGAACTCATCATGTTCCTTCGATGCCACCTTGCTTTCTTCTCACATACCAAGCTGAGCCTTCGTGAGGACCTTTGCCTTTGCTGTTCCATCTGCTTGGAATGTGATCTTTATATGGTTTGTGTCTTCTGCTCACTTAGGTCTCTGCTCAGATATCACTTCCGTGGTTGCCCTATCAGAAATACCCACTCTTCTCATACCACAATGCTGACCCTGCTTTGTTTTCTGTAGCACTTACCATGACCAGAAATGATTTATTTCTCGCCTGTCTTCTATACTTGAGTTATATATATGTTCTAGGAGAGAAACTGTGTCTTGTGTAACTGTTGTATCTCTAGCACCTAAAATAGTGTCTGGTGTATAGTAAGAATTCTCATAATGAACTGATGAGCAGATGGACATATGTAGCTCTGCATTTATATCTTGCAAAGGATCTAAATTGGTACAGCTCATAGAAATAGAGTGTGAGTTACAAGTGTAATTTAAGATTTTTCCAGTAATTAAAAAAAGCGAAAAGAAACAGGTGATTAGCTTTAGCAATATATTTTTCTAACCCAGACTCATTTCAACAATTAATACTAAAAAATAAAAGGCAACTGGAAACTTATTGCATGGGGAGGAGGATCTTTCTCAGCTACCCCTGCTTCCTTTCCCCTCCAAGGAAGCTGTAGCTCAGGAATGTGTGATTATATTCTTAGAATAAGGATAATTATGATAAAAATTTAATAATAAGGAAAATTACTAAATTTTACTCCATGCTAATCACTTCATATAATCTCATTTAATTCTCACAATTGCATTTTACAGATGAAGAAACATGTTCAGAAAAGCAGTGTAACTTGTTCCAACATACACATCTGGTGTTACAGCTGGAATTGTAAACTTGGTTGAAAGTTAGTTTCATCTGAACATCATGCTACAGTGTCCCTTTAGTGGTTCACACTGGAGAAATAGAGGGCCAGTTGAAGATCCAGTGAGATGAAGATAATGTTTTTACAGCATCTAGCACAGTACTGGCTGCTAGGTATCCCCTGGGACACTCCAGTTCCTCTACCCCTCTTTCCCTTGCTGGCTGTCTCTTGACCTAATTCCCCCTCCTCTGTACATATTCTGCTGTGGAGCCCTAGGAGCTCTTGGTGCAGTTTAGCCTTCAGGTAGGCTTGCACGTATGGGGCAGGGGAGCGCTGGGGCCTTACCTTAGGACTGGTGTCTGAAACCTACCATCCAACTACCAAATGCAAGACTCCTGGGAGGTTCTTACCTCCTTCCTTTCTAACCTCCCGCACCTGGCTGGGATTCGCCCGCACACTGACAACTTCCATTCCTTTCTGTGGCTCTGGTCTTCCTGTTTCATATGTAGTATTACAGATCCTCCACAGTGGCTGTCAGAATAACCTGTCTCAAACAACCCGAACCAGATCATGTCCCTACTTAAAAACACTGTCTTCAGGATTGAGTCCGAATTCCTCAGCTTGCTCTCTGTCTGACAAGTATTACTGTGCGCCTAAGCCTTCTTTACAGGCACAAAGAGTAGTAGCAAACCAAGCATAAAAAAAAAGGCCTGCCCACATGGAGCTGATATTCGAGGGGCGGACCCCAGCATTCCTTTCCAGCTTTATATGGTCCAACTAACTTCCAGCCTCTCTCCCACTGCAGCGTTGGCTTTGCACAGAATAAACGCCCCCTGTAACTAACCCGCAAAGTCCCCCAGACTGGCCTAGATGGAGAGAACAGTTCCCGCCCCTGACACTCCTCATGGGCCCTGCTGCCCCACTGAAAGACCTAGGGTGCCCCCGGAAATTGAGGCCCCCATTGCCTCTGGCCCGCAGCCCCTCCCCTACCCTTGGGATTGTGAGCTAAGAGCCAGGAGTAAAAGGCTTGGTCCGCAGTGCTGTGCCCGCCTGGGCTGGTCCCCTCCTCTGCACAGGCAGAGGGGAAGGAGTGCCTATCCCCAGCCCCATCGAGGAATGCCTCATCCCCAGGTGAACGTTCGCGTGGAGCTGTAGGTAGGGGTTACGGAGGGGACGCCCGACAGATCCATGCGATTTCCTGCCCGGTCCTGATGTCCAGGCTGCCCTGGACAGCGGGGCGAGGCGGGAAGCAGAGGGTTCTGGTCCCCAAGGTGCGGGGTCGGAGTTGGGGGCCCAGTGCTGGCCTCCAGGGAAGGGGTGGGGTAAGCGCTGGGGAGGCGTGGGGCGTCCCTGCCAGAAAGCATGTTCGCTCTTGGCGAAGCCTCAGCCGCCACTCGTTCCTGTTTCTAGGAACTTCAAGAGTCATACTCGCTTTCCCTTCCACGGCAGCGCCCTACCTTTCTCCTTGCTCACATCCCTCCGCCACTCATCAGGTTAATTGCAGATTTCCTTTTACCAATTTGTTCCCACCCCACAAACCACCCTTCACTCCCCGCCAGTATCTGACCAAAATATAGGTCCCTTCCTGAATATCGCACCGCCTGCCTACAGGCTGCAATTGTCACAATCTGTGGCCTCCCAGCCAACTTTTCCTCCAGTTACCAGTCCTCTGGGGACCTGCCTCGTCGCTATGCTTTTGCATCTCCAATTCCCTTGGCCAGGAGTCCCCTACCCCACGTGATTAATCCTTAGATACCCTGGTAACACACTGGTGAATCCTTGAAGGTCCCCACCCCAGTCCCAGTCTCTTTTTCCCTATTGCACCCACAGCAGCTGGGACTTGCCCTTGTCCTATGTGACACTTGTCCCTACATACAGTTGCCTCCCCTACCTACAAGACTCTAGCTTCTTGAGAGTGCTGGCTGGGTCTTGTTCTCTCTGTCCCCCAAACACATAGTACCTGACACAGTAGTCATCAGAAAAAAAGGAAAGAAAAAAGAAGAAAGAAAAGTGAACAAATGGAAGATTTGGGTGGCTGCTGGATATAACGAAGGAGCAGGGGTATTGGTAATTCAGTTGAGACGCCTTCTTGGAGGCCACAATGACAAGGGTTAGATGTCAGGCAGAAAAGATTTAGTGCAGTGAGAAGACCTCAGGAAGACCAGAGTGTTGAAGTACATTAATATAACAGACTGTGAACACCTTCTATTGTCAGGCCTCATGTTGGGCACCGGGGACTTCGGTCTGCACTCAGATTGCATCCTTTGTAGCAAAGAAGAAAGACAAGGTAGGCAATGCCAATACAGAGTACCAAGTGTCACATGGTGAGCACAAGATGTGACCTTACAGAGGAGCACTTGCAGCCTCTGGGATGGGAAGGAAGGGTGTCAGAAGGTCTTTCCAAATAAGAGCATAATCCAACCTAAGACCCAAGGGAGGTCCTGAAAAGTGGGTAAGGGGTACTGGAGTGGGAGAGCTGAGCAGGGCTGGAATGCCACAGGAAGAAGTCATACTTATCCTGGGGGCATGCAAGAAGCTGGGGTGTGACCAGATGCTCTTGTAGGCCAGGACCACATAAAAACCTCAGCTCTGACCCCTTGTCTTGAGAAGCTTCCTTTCCCTGCTGGCAGGTTGGGTCCCGTCTGTGCTCCCTAAGTAGACTGATCATGTTTCTTTTTCAGAGCAGGGGTTGGCTGTTCCTTGGGAGATGAGGCCAGGTCTTAATCTTCTCTGTGTTCCAAGTGCAGGCACCATATCTTGCTCATGAATACATGTTTGCTGAATGAATGAATTATTCCTTATTTCAGTGGATTTTAATAGCCCTTACCCTCAAGGTCACATCCTTTCACATCTGGGACCTTTTCTTTATGCTGCAAATGACATTTCATTTGGGAAGAGGAGACTCAATTCTAGTCCTGGCTTCACCATTTACTGCAAGTCACCTACCTAATTCTGAAACCTCAGTTTCCCCATCTGTAAGATGAGGTACCCATATGAATGGAGTCTGTAAGTCTCCACAGACATGCATGAGTCTCATTCCTCTGAGCAAGCTTTAAGTTCCTTGATGGCAGGGACCAGGGTTCTCCCATCCCATAGCCTAGGCTGAGCATATTATCAATACAATGTTTAGTCTTCTTGGTTGGTAGATAGCAAAACACAGAGGAAAGGACACTTAAGGTGAAGTTGTCAGTCTGAAGTGACCTTGAGCTAAGTCTTCCCCTCTTTGTTTTCTTTGCCTTCCTTGGAAAGTAGGGATAATAATCCTTGCCTGACAGAGCTCACAGGACCAATGGAAATCCTGGGTGTGACAGTGCTTTGTGAACAGAGTAGATAATGAAAGAAATAGTACAGCACATGATTAATCATTGATTAGAAATTAAACAACCATAAAGTAGATGAGACAAGGCCTGATCATCAGAAGACAGACTCAGGGTACCTGCTGACTGGTTTTGAGAGGCAGAGATGCTGGGATGCTGTTCTTCTAGAAGATAGAGGGTTAGGCTGACAGGTGCCTGGCTCAGCAGCAGAGGTATCTGATCTTGCTGGGGTCAGCCCTGAAAGTAGTAGGTTCATGGAGAGGATGTAGTAGGTTCATGGAGAGGGATTATGCAGCCAGTCCTTTGCTCCTTTCTCTTCCAGCTTTCCCAGGCTTGCATTGTTTCCCATCTTCAGCTTCAAGGGACCCTGGCATGAGAAGGTCTTATTAGTCCCAAAGGCTTTGGCCACACAGCTGCTGGTTTCCTTTGGTGAACCTATGGGACCAGTGAAGCCTGCAGTGCTACCCTGAGAAAGTCTAGTCCCGAGCCCAAGTCTAGCTCCTCCTAGCCCCTGACATCTTGGTGGCAGGGTTTATGGGAAAGAACAGTGTTTTGTCTCAACTATTACTCAGACCAGAAGCACTTAGGGTTATAGGAGGGACTGTCTGGAGGCAAAATCTGACATCTAAAGTGAGTGAGGATTAAATGAGAAAATGACACGGGAGCACCTTAGAATCTGTCTGTTTGTCTCAAACCTGGAATTATACGTGTGGCTGGTATGTTCACTCCAGCCAGTGGGGCTTCTCTGTCTCAGGACAGGGTCTCTGTTTCACAAGAAGTTTATGTGTAAAGAATACATGTTTGATCTTAGGGTAAAGGTGGAGATAAGGCAGGGTGTGAAGATGGACAGAGGAGGCTAGTTCCTTGGTGCTGTGAAAGGCTAGATGGCCAGAGGAGATCTGGGCATGGCCCGCCCTTGCAGGGGAGACTGGTGCTGCCTAGCAGGGCTGGCCAGTGGAGCTTCCTCACTGTTCTATCCCCCAGCAGAAGCAGCACCAGCTCCAGTGTCAGGCAGGGTTAGGATCTACTCACTTAATGTGTAACTGAGCAAATATCTACATTTCTTTGAACCTCTGTTTCCTTATTCATAAAACGGGGAAGAACAATAGTACCATCTACCAAGGTGGTCTGGACCAGAAGTAAGACCATAATGAGAAGCACTTGGTGAACCACTGCATGCTGAGAATATTCATTTTGTACCTTTCATTTCCTCTGCTGTTGGAGGTGGAACTGCTGTCCTGGTTGGGACCTGGTTTGGGCTTTAGGACACCTCAGCTGCAGCCCTAGTCTGTGAGAGAACAACTTTGCCCTGTGGGACGAAGGTGCCTTCTGAATCCACTGCTCTCTCAAGCCAGCTCTTAGGATATGACAAAGGCCAATTTCCCAGATGGAGGCCAGGGGGGTGCCAGGAGGGTCAAGGGGACAGGAGGTGAGTCAGAGAGCAAGTAGAAACTATGGTTGCTTGAGTTCACCTGCTCTGCTACTGAGCTTTCCCAGGACCCTCCACCTTCAGCACCTTTGTCTTTCCTTCCTATGTCTCCTTCATCCACCTCTTGTCCTTAATCTAGCTTGTGACACTGTCTGGGGAGGGTGTAGTTCTGGGATGAGGTCTATGGCCACAGAAGCTACCAGGTCCTTGGGAGCCTCTTTTGGGACTTCTTGACCTTGGAAACTTCTTTTCCCTCTCTCCTGGGCCCCAGGTCAATGCCCCAGCCATAACCGGAGGCAGCCCAAGATAAATGAATTTTCCTGGAAGGATGTTACCAGTGCCTTGTCCCTGGCCAACATGGTTCTGGGGCTCTTCTCCATCTTCTGCAGCGTCAGCAGGTAGGTCTGGGGCCCAGCATGCTCTTAGCCAAGTGCTGGAGCCCATGGCATGAGGGAAGGTGGGGGGGGGAGTCTAGAGAGGCAGGCCCCACAGCCCTGGGGTCACCTCGGGGGCAGGAAAAAGAACAATAGCCTCAGTTGTGCCACCAATATGATATACAACCTTCACTAGGTCGCAGCTCTTGGCCTCAATTTCTCCTTCCATAAAATTGAGGTGCTTACATTATGATTTCTGAAGTTCTTTAAGTTATGGAAGCCTAGAATGGTTTTTATAAGAAAAATCAAGAGATTCTCATCTTCCATTCATATTTTCTGATTCTTAAATTAGAACATATGACCTGGCAGAATATTTGAAATCAGCACTGTTCTGGAAAGTCCAAAACACATATTATGTGCCTCCAAAGCAATTTATATAAGCAAATTATGTTTCTATGAATTGAATCATGTTTCAATGTCTTTGAGAAGTCAGCTTCTTAAAGATAAATCCTTTATAATACAAATGATAATCTATTTGATTCATAGCCATCAGCAAGTGAATTCTTTTAGGATCTTTTTTTTTTATCCAAATGAGAAGAAAATGATATTTAAGCTCCCTCCTATATTAAAAAATTTTTGATTCTCTAATTTTGGATTTTTGGAGTCTAATAAACTATGCACATGGGCATATCTGCAAGCAGAAAATCTCTGTCTTATTAGTTCAGCCAAATCTTCTGGGAGTATGGTTTTTCATACCACAATAGTATGATAAATATTTTTTATTTAGTTTTAGTCCCCTTTTAATCCTTAGGTCTGGGTCTAAACAAGGGACAGGTGAAGTCTGAGGTAAAGCTCTCTGTTTGCTTCTGCTGGGCCACCTAAGCATTGTAGTCACCTTGCAGACTGGGAATGGACCTCCTGAGGACAGGTTGCTTAGAACTATGGTGGCTATTTTCAGAGGGCATTGGGAACATGGGCTGGACAAGGTACAGGACTCAAGAACATGAGGTCTGAAAGAGTCCTTTGAAATCATTTAAAGCATCAAAATACACAAGACCACAACTGGTAGAACTTCAAGGAGAAATTGATAAACTCACTATTTTAGTAAAAGATTTAAACACCTATCTGTCAGTAGTTGGCAGATCCTGCAGACAGAAAATCAGCAAGGACATAGTTAAATTCTAAAACACCATCAGTCACTGGATATAATTGACATTTATAGACTATCCAATACCAGTGGAATACACATTTTTCTCAAGCTCACTTAGAACATTAACTAAGATGGACCACATTCTGGGTCATAAAATACACCTTAACAAATTTAAAAATCAGAAATCATACAAAGTATCATTTCAGGTAACATGGAATTAAACTAGAAATCAATAATGGAAAGAGAGCTGGAAAATCCGGCACTATTTGGAGATTAAACAACATATTTCTAGATGATACATGGATAAAAGAAATCTCAAAATACATCTAAAAATATTTTGAAATGAAAATACAATTTACCGGGCTGGGGATGTGGCTCAAGCGGTAGCGCGCTGGCCTGGCATGTGTGCGGCCCGGGTTCGATCCTCAGCACCACATACAAAATAAAGATGTTGTGTCCGCCGAGGACTAAAAAAAAAAAAAAAAATACAATTCACCACAATTTGTTGGATGCAGGAAAAGCAGGGCTTAGATGGAAATTCATAGCCTTGAATACATTTACAGTCATGCATTGCTTAACAATGTGATGTTCTGAGAAACAAAACAGTAGGTGATTTTATTGGAATATCATAAACTAAGAAAGCTGTGACATCTCTAGGTGATATCTTCTGGGACCACTGTCTTTTATATTATACATATGGTTTGTAGTAGACTAAAATGTCATTATATGGTGCATTGCTGTATTAGAAAATAAGATCAAAAATCAATAATCTAAACTTTCACCTTCAGAAACAAGAAAAAGAAGAGCAATTCAGAGCAGAAAAAAAGAAATAATAAAAATAGAGTTAGCGATATAGCTCAGCAGTGGAGCACTTGACTCACATGTGCAAGGCCCTGGGTTCAACCCTCAGTTCCACACAAAAATAAAAAATAGAGTGGCAATTAAAGAAGTTAAAATAGGAAATAATTAGAGAAAAATCAATGGAATCATTAGCTGATTTTTTGAAAATGTCAATAAAATTGATATACTTTTGGCCAGGAAAACCAAGAAAAAGGAGAGAAGACACAAATTACCAATATCAAAAATTAAAGAGGGGCCATCACTACATTCGTACAAATGTGATAGCCTGGGTGAAATGGATCAATTCCTTAGAAGATATAAGCTACCAAAACTCACACAAGGAGAAACAGATCATCTGAATAGGTTTATATCTATTAAATAATTCATTTAGCATGTACCCCTCATTTTGCAAGTGGAGGGGAAAAGGCCTAGAGCAGGATAGTGATTTATCTGAGAATTCATGATGAGATGGTGGCAGGGGCTGGATTAGGACCTAAGAATGATACCTGGGCTATCAAATATGCCTGGAATTTAGAGTCAGAGGGGGCCTTAGAGATTACCACAGGGATTTGGAGAAATCCTTTAAGAGGATGGGTTAAACTGGGCCCAGTGGCACATGCCTGTAATCCCAGTGTCTCTGGAGGCTGAGACAGGATGATAGCAAGTTCAAGGCCAGCCTTGGCAATTTAATGAGAACCTGTCTCTAAATCAATAGATCAGTCAATCAGTTGATCAATTGAAAAGGCTTGGGGTGGTTAGCTCAGTATAGATTGAACCCTGGGTTCAGTCCTTAGTACCAAAAGATAAAAAATAAAAAAAGACTATGGGTTATGTGTTTGAGAAGGATATAGGTGTATGTGAGGGTGTGAGTGTATATGAGTGTAAGGTGGAATATACTAGAAAGGAGGTGAGCCTAGAGGATATGCTTGGGTGGGCATAGGTGTTCAGGGAGTATATTAGTGTATTGGTGGTGGGAGAAGTTGTCCAGTGGGGACTTAAATGAACTGTCCTGTTTGGGCCTGCTGGCCTGCACTTCAGGAAACCTCAGTCTGCCTCCTGGACGCTTCTGATCAGCTTCCTGCTAGACATGGCAATAGGGGCTATGAACAGACAATTCAACATATTATGCAAATCAGGTGAGTCCTGGCTTCAGGCCCCAAATCCCTGACCCTGGGAACATCCATCTTGGGTCACTACCCACCCTCTAACATCCAGCAGACTTTTTCACCTTCTCTCATTTCTGTTCATGTGCATCTAAGAATAGCTGAGCAGCCCTGGAGCAGGAGTTAGGGAGCCTTGCAGCCTAGATCAGCTCCTCTGCAGGCTCACTTATCCATCTTTGGGTAATTTTTGTCCTGGCATTCAGTATCCTCATTGGCCCTGCCTCCCTGTCCTGGGTAGATCCAAGTATTAGAGAGGAAATGGGGAAGGTGGGGGGGGGGTAGAGGGGAGATGAAAAACTACCTTAGGCAGAGCATCTGGTTTAAGATTCCAGGAAATGTTTCCCTGTATGATTTGGCTTGCATAAAGGATTCCACTGCTTGTCATTTTGCAGTCAATTGTAATGCAACCTTTAAGTGATGGGGAAACTAATATACCAAAGGCCACAAGGTCATTCAGAGGCAGAGCTGGGAGGAGACCCCAGACTTTGATCTACAGACCACTCTAGGGACCTTAGGACCCCTCCAGCTCCGCCCCCCACCCCATATCCACCCAGGAAGGCTAAGGTGACAACATATGAGTGTTGGGCCTCTCGAACAGGAGCTGAGCTGAATGACTTTGCTGTCTTCACCACCTTTGGCCTGGCCTCGGCCCTTCTCCTTGGTGCGGATGGGCCGCTGAATGGGTTCCTGGCTGTCCTCTATGTGTTAACCACTTCTTTCCGCCTGTGTTTTTATTCATCTGGTGAGTGGAACCCAGGTAGCCTTAGGAAGTGAGGGTAGGGCACCACAGAGAGGGAGGAGCTGTGGGAAGCTAGAAGCCCTCTTCCTTCCTTTGCGCATGCCCCAAGCCCCACAAAAGTTTCAGGCTACCTTGATAGAATCCTCATCTGAGAGAGGTCTTCATTTATTGGAACAACTGTACCTCTTTCATTGTGTGGTTTTTGGTTGGAGAACATCATTTCATGGACTCTAGAAATGGAGGTCATACTCCAGTTCCCCTCAAACAGGAGAAAGCTAGCCGTGGTAAGGGAAGTTACTTTCCTAAGGCCACAAAGATAGGGAGGGCAAGTACAGGAGGGGCAGAGGGGAGATGAAAAACTACCTTAGGCAGAACATCTGGTTTAAGATACCAGGAAATGTTTCCCTGTAAGATTTTGTTTGCATAAAGGGTCCGCTGTTTGTCATTTTGCAGCTGATAGTAGTTGTAGCCTTTAAGTGATGGGGAAACTAAAACCTAGAGAGGGAAGGATTTGCCAAAGGTCACAAGGTCAGTCAGAGGCAGAGCTGGGAGGAGACCCCAGACTTTGATCTACAGACCAATCTAGGACCCTATCAGCAGGGACTTCCCAGGGGCCAGGGCACATGCAAACCCACACAACATCTGTTTGTGAACAACTAAGTGATTCTACAGCTGCCATTGCCTCTGGGCCCAAGGGAATTTTATAGTCTAGGAGGGAAGATCCAGGGTTGGGGATGTAGCTCAGTAGGAGAGCACTTGCCTAGGGTGTACAAGGTACTGGGTTCAATTACCAGTACCACAAACAAATAAGCCTAAGGAGGGAAGACCCAGAGAGAAGGGGACTGGATTCATTTAGATGACCCTAGATCAGGAGAAGCAGCTAACCTGACCCCATGTTTCTTTCCCTGGCAGAAGTTTCCTTATCCTATAAGGGTCTACCCTGCCCCTATGCTTCCTGTGTTTTGGCTTCCACCTCCCTTCTGACCAAAGGCAACCCTTTCATCCTCGGCTGCATGGCTTCACTTATGATGCTATTCATGGTAGACCAGAGCTACTACCCATATGATGAAATTCTGGAGTCAGACAGTTGGAAAAAAGCAGTTTATGTGGGAGGTGAGTGAAAATACTCTTTCAAATGTCACTAGATGGTGGATCTATCTATTAATATTGCCTTTCCTGGCTACCCCAGAATTCCCTATCTACTCTTCTACCTTGCTTTATTTTTCACCATAGAATTCATCATCATCTGACACAGTATATATTTACTAGTTTTAAAAAATGATCTGTGAACACTTAACCTACACCTCTGAGCATAGTGACACATGCCTGTAATCCTAGGAACTCAAGAGGCTGAGGCAGGAGGATTGCAATTTTAAGGCCAGCCTCAGCAGCTTAGTGAGACCCTGTTTCAAAATAAAAATAAAAAAAGGACAGGGAATGTAGCTCAGTGATAAAGTGCCCCTGGGTTCAATTCCCAGTAACAAAACCAAACAGACACTAAATCTACCCCAAATACGCTCTCTTGTATTAATATACTATAATCCCCAATTCCTAGAATTATACCAATAAATTATACCAAGCATTATGTCAATGTTTAATCATTATTTGTTGAATGTTAATGAGTTCTATAAAAATTTAGGGAGCACCTATCATGTGCCAGGTACTGGGAAGCAATCTACATACACAAAGTTCCTGCCTCAGAATTGACAGATGGGGGAGAAAGATACCAAAGTAGAAATAACTAGAAGCACATGGTCTTTTTTTTCTTCCAGTACTGGGAATTGAACCCAGGTTGCTCTACCACTGAGCCACAACCACAGCTACCTCCTTTTTTTGAAACAGGATCTTGTTAAGTTGCTGAGACTGACCTTGAAGTTGAAATTCTCCTGCCAGACTAGAAATAGATAGTTTTGGTGTACCATGAAGAACAGGATGACGCTCTGAGACGGTGTCAGAGAGTGGCCTGGTATAGATTGAGATGGCCTAAAGGGAGGGAAAGGATCCTTAAGGCAGTGACATTCAAGTGAGTCCTGCAAGTTGAGCCTTCAGGTGAGTAGGAGGCTCAGACAGAGGAAACAGTATTTTGTTCTGAGCCAGGTGTTGGAAGTATTAGCAGAACGGTGTGGCTGGAACTTGCCAAGAACCCAAGATACAAAATGAGACCAGTGAAGTAGGCAGTTTAGACAGGATTGGGATTTGACCTAAAGGCCAGTGAGAAACCTCTGAGCATATTTTTGCAGGAAGTGACGTGATCAGGGAGGCAGTTTCCAAGGATCACTCTGACTCCATTGTGGAGAACAGAGGTAGAGCTCTGAGGCTGGAAGCAGGAAAGCCAAACTTTTGTTCAGATGGGAGAAGATGATAGTGTGGATCTGAGAAGTGACTGGACTTCAGAAACATGTTGAAATAGAGTAGATGCCATGGGAAGGGGAGGAGTCCTGGGTGACTTAGAAGTTTTGAGTTTAAGCAATCCAGTGCTGGGTTTCAGGCTCTGATGTTCCTGCCACACTGGGGCCCTGGAAGATGTCTTCCTAGTCTTTTCCTTGATTTACAGCTTTCTTTAAGGAATTTTGATTCTTTTCTTTTAAAATGTGCACACATCAACAAAACAATAATCTTGAGGATACTGTTTTTCCCATTATTCCTTTGTGGTGAGTCTGCTGTAGTTTATAGGATCCTTGGTTCTATCCTGATCTTGCCTTTAGGGTTCATACCTTTTGTAGCATTAGCACCAACAACCCTATCCAAGTTCTCAGTGCTGGCCCTTCCTATTCCCTAGGTGGTGGAGGCAGAATGGTGGTGAGAATCTGGGTTTGGAGCTTAACAGATCTGAGTTCAAGTTCTAACTTCAGCACATAGTAGCTGTGTGAACTTGGCTAATACCTCATTGTTTTGAGCTCATATTTTTCATCTGTGAAACAAAGGCAAAAATCCCTACTTTGCAGGATCATTGAAGTAAAATGAGGTAATTCTGAATTCTCTGGCACAGATGTGTGCCAGAGGTGATAACTCCCCCCCCACCCCGCACTCTGTCTTCTTCTCCAGCTTCCCTTCCCAAACTCACAACAAGATTTACCACAGTGTTCTTTGCTCCTGTAGATACTACTGATGCTCTCTTCTCAAAGTAAACCATGCATTTGGCCTCAGCCTTCCAGATTGTCTTGGCTGTGGGAGACAAGGAGGAAACTGTATCTCACAGATTTTGACACCAGTTAATACCTGAATCTCATTGGGTAGATTTCAAGACGACTGCTGTTAGCTCTATTCATAGTAGCTAAGCTATGGAACCAACCTAGGTGTCCTTCAACAGATGAATGGATAAAGAAATGTGGTTTATATACACACAATGGAATATTACTTAGTCATAAATAAGAATGAAATTGTGGCATTTGCTGGTAAATGGATGGAACTGGAGACTATCATGCTAAGTGAAATAAGCCAATAGCAAAACAAACAAACAAACAAACAAACAAAAAACAAAGGGTGAATATTCTCTCTGATATATAGATGCTAACACACAGTATGGGGTAGAAAATAGAAGTTCTTTGGATCAGACAAAGGGGAATGAAGGGAAGGGAGGAGGATGGGAATAGGAAAGACAGTAGAATGAATCAGACATAACTTTCCTATGTTCATATATGAATACACAACCAGTGTAACTCCACAGCATGTACAACCACAAGAATCTGAAGTTATACTTCATATGCTAATATGTCAAAATATATTCTACTGTCATGTATAACTAAAAAGAACAAATAAAAAAGATGGCTGCTGTTGATATTCCTCTTGCCTGAAAAACAGACAATTCTAAACTATAAGATTATTATGAAGTATAGATAAAATAATTAATGCACAATATCTAGCAGAATATTTAGATATGCCACTAATGGGGCTGTCCTTTGCCTTTTTGGTGATGAATCTGAGGTTCAGCTTGTATTGGGAGTCCCCAAGACCACTTCCAGATTTGGTGATTTGTTAGGAGGATCCACAGGACTCAGCATCTTATCTTATTCAGGGCTATGATTGATTAGAGAAAAAGGATACAAGGCAAGATCAGCACAAAGGAAAAAATGCATGGGATGAGGCTCAGAGGAAACTGAGTGCAAGCTTCCAAGAGTTCACTCACAGTGGAATCACACAGGCACGCTTAATTCCTCCAGCACTGAATTGTCATGATTCACGTTTTGTTGTTTGCTAGGGAAGCTCATAAGAAACTTGGTTTTTACTGGGGACTGGTCACCTAGGAACCCTCTACCCAGCATGTACCCAAGTCCCAAACTCTCAAAAGTAAAGCAGGTATTCAGCACAAACCACTGGGCTTGGACAGCCTAGACACAATGAGTCACTCAGATCACTTAGAAGTTTTCTGTTAACAGTTTTCTGCTGGCCATGGCCAACCTTGCACCCAGGCCTTTATAGGGATGGCATTCTCAGGCCTGCTGTGTTAACTCCTTCCTGCATACAAAAAATATGATATTGACCATTTTTCCATATTAAACTCAAAGTAATTAGGAAGATGCCCTCTTACGCCAGTGAAGGATGTGGGCAACGCACATTTATTCTTGCCTAGGACTGGTTTCTTCCAAAATAAAAAAAAAAATGGAATCTAGAAGTGCAGTAAGGTACAATTGTCTAGTTATTTGCAAAAATCCACTAAACTGAACTTAAAGACAGGGCTCCTGTCTCTTTTTTGCTGCTAAGTGTCTGGGGGCTAGGGTTGTGGCTCAGTGGGAGAGTGCTTGCTTAGCATGTGTGAGGCACTGGGTTTGATCCCCAGCACCACATAAAAATAAACAAATAAAATAAAGGTATTGTGTCCATCTACACCTAAAAAAATATAAAACAACAAACAAACAAACAAAACTGAATGTCTGTTTTGCTTCTTCCAGGTGTCTTCATGGTGTTTTTCTTCCCATTCTCCCTCACTGCATTTTACTGTCTGATGTGGTCACTCTCCTACATCTTCTTCCCAGATGCTGTGTGGAGCAGGGCAGCCTGTTTTAGATTCTAGCACTGAGGAGCTGCAGCTCTACCAACTCCTGCTGGCCTTTGTGGGATTTGTTCCAGCATATCGGGCCAAGCCTGGACTTATCCTCACTAAAGCTTTTACTTGTGCCTGTGTTGTCATTTGTTAGATAATGCAATCTCTGTTGTCTTAAATCACAGCAACCCACAGTAGGCCTGGAAGCCATTTCTTCTTTCTCTTTATTCAAGGTTCTGGTTCTCTTTGATGCAAGACTTGTACATGTCATGTGGAACAGATTTTTTTTTTTCCCCAAGCTAAGTTTGGGCTGAGTTTGTGTTCCAGCTCTGTCACTAGCTAGCTGAACTTGTGCATTAAGGTGTATCCCGTGGGAAGGAGAGAAGGCCTCCAGAGTTGGTATAGCCTCCATCTCGGCCCTGCTAGATCAGATTCAGAATTACCCCCTAGTGTTGGGGTGGCCTCATGTTTTACACTTGCGGACTGCTGCAGAACCTGTCACAGGACAGTTACACTGTCTGCTTGGAATATGTGTAGAGTCTTGTAACTTAAAAATTCTGCCTTTTAACAGTCCAAAGCTTCTGCCTTGTGGGCTAGAGATATAGCTCAGCTGGTAGAATGCTTGCCTTGCATGCATAAGGCCCTGGGTTCAATCTCCAGCACTGCAAAAAACAAACAAAAAGCCTCCTGCCTGTTACTTTGGTACAGACTGGATGAATTGGCAGCACAGGGCATCCTCTGGTTTCCTGGATGTCTTTCCTAAACTCTCAACACTAAACTCTAGATAATAAAATGCTACTTCATCTCCTACATACATCAAATATGGTATTGTCCATTGTCAAATGATTGTCAAATACAAATCAAATAGAAATAAACAGTATTGTATGGTAAAGTTGTGCTCACAGAGAACTTGGGTCCACTGGATATAGTGAGCCACAATGTGGCCCTTGGACTTTGGATTCAGATGGGACACCAAGAGGATGGCTGGTGAATTCTGCTCCTTGCCCAAAGGTGGCGCCAGAGCACCTTTTACCACATCTGACTTTGAAGTTTTCACAAGTGCTTGTGGTAAATAAGCATCAAATTTACAATAGGATTTAAAAAAAATACTAATCCAAAGAAGCCCACATCACTCTGATTTGACTGTAGAGGAGCAGGTAGCATCCTCTTCTCTACTGCTTTCTAGTCATGTTTCTTAGATCATTTGTATTGTCCTCATGGTTAGATGAATATTCTGTATCCCACTAAAGTTTTAAACTGCTTCAGTTTTCATTTACATAGTTCTGTGACAATAATATTTACTTTGTAGATGAATTGATTTGTGGATTCTAGTGAGTTATACACAGGTTACTATACTATAGTACCTTAGTGGAGTCTGAGGGGTCTAAGCAGTTCCACTAGTCTTTTTTTTTTTTTTTTTT